ATATGCTAAGATATATATAAAATATAATATTTACACATAACATATTCCGGTTCAGCTTGAAAGTTTACTGTGAAAATTCATATTTTTGCCTTTGGGGGTAGCAATTAGGCATTTCTGGGAGGTCTTCCTATTATAAGCAAAGCCGTAGAAATATAAAAATGTTGCTTATATATTTAGAAGAGAAATAAAAAGAATATATTTATAGACTTGCCGCAGCGCTTTTAGTCGCAACGGCTCAACGACACTTTCATGTTGTCCCTGGCTACCTGACCACCTGACTACCCGACTACCTGACTACGTGTCGCCCACGTATTAGGAGTTGCGCTCCGGGAAGTTTTTGCCACTCTGCTGCCGCTGATCCAATGAACAATTTCGGGGGCCACTTTCAATTCACTAACAATTTAAGTGACGCCCGGGGCCGTGAAACTTTTAATAGCCAAAACGAGGGACGCGGAGGGAGTGGGCTGGATGAACATGAACCGTAGGACCTGCAACGTGGGACACGTGCTACAGGGCCCGGGGTCTTTAATGGGTCCCGGGCTCTGGGTCCCAAAGTCCTGAGTTCCGAGTCCTGAGTCCTGAGACCTGCGAAGATGCAGAGCACACACGCACATCGTGCTGGGTAACGGTGGGGGTGGAGGCAAGGTCAAGGCTCCTGCGACTGCTACAAAGTAATTCGTTTCCGCTTCCGCTTCATTACTCGCGCCGCCTCGTCTCGCACTCCCAAAAGCACTCAGAGAAAAAAAGGCGGTGGTTGTGGCGACGAAGGCGGCAGGGCAAATAAAACACAGCGGAGCAGAGCGAAATAAAATGAATCGACGCTGGTAAATAAAATGCGCAATTGACAGGCATAAAGGAAATGGCGGCGCCACACACACACGCACACACACACACACACCAACACACACACAGCTAGCTGCAAGGACACCAAGGATACTGACGCACTCGCTCTTCACCTGCCAGCTGCCAGCTGCCAACTGCCAAATGCTTATAAGCAAATATAAACAGGCAAATATCCACAGCGAATCTCGAGGGCGGCTATCTGGAGGAGGGAGGGGAGGGGCGTGGCTGGCGTAATGGCTGCTAATTAACGCGTCCTTTGCCGTCGACTTGTTGAGTGCACCGGACTCTTTGGCAGCCACTCCGTCCGACTGCAGAGCTTATCCGTTTCCTAAGCCCTTCACTTTCAGCAATCTGACCAGTGCTCCTTTTAATTAAAAACCGCTTTTGTCGGCGGTACACGACCTTCTGCTTCTAGTATCACAAAAAAATAATTGGCCACTGTGTTCTGTATTTTCCTGGCGACTTCAAGGGCCTCTACCATTGATCCAACTCGGTTAAGTTTTTGGTAGCTATCAAGTTTAAACTTTAGCTCTAAGCCAAATAAAAATGATCTATTTTAGTTTTAGATTTCAAATTAATTGCAGCACAGAACACACAAAATTCAATAAGCTAATATGAACCAAATTAAAATTACCTATTTTGTAGTAAAAATTATGCTTTCCAAACTATTTCATGCACAAGCAGTTGCCTACATAAGTTTTTAATTTGTAATTATTATTAGACAATTTAAATACTTTCCTTGGAAGGTCATGTGTAATTTAAGAAGTTTTACAAATGCAAAGTTTTTGGTTTGCCATTACGTGCCGCATGTCAACCCATTTTAACTCTTTTCGGAATTTACCTGGTAAGGGGAAAGACTTATATAGAAAGTATTTCAGAAAACTTTGCACTTTGTCATAATGTGGTGTGTGATTGACCCCATAGCTGTACCATATTCTCTTAGGTACGTCCCTTTTATTCAAAAAGGATTCTCATGTAAAGTTTATGACCTGTTTTGCGTCTTCTTGTAAGTGTTAACTCCTGGAGGTTTTAACTCGAAATGGCGCTGTTGCTTAAGTTGCGCTTATTTATTAGTTTACAAGCTACAGTTTTTACTTTTTTGGTAAGGCGTCATGAAATGTTACATTTTGGCTAAGTTACATTCTCACATCGGTTTTGTTTGTACAGCAGTCTGATGAACTTTTTATTTAATTCAGAGCGTGGAAGCGATTCCCAGTCGATTTTAAGTCAGCTTTTGACCAAGCCTTTCAACCAAATCAACACCCACAAGTCTCCTCATGTGCGAGTGTGTGTGTTACCCTGATTTGTACAAATAGTAACTATACTTTCCTTAATAAGGGGTCTCCCAATGAAAATGAGGATAAGCCAAAAAGTGTATAGTCGTACACTCGGATAAATTGTACTCAAACTTAGTAATTGGAGTAAAAAATAAACGTGTACTCTTTATTTTTGGACTTTTAATACTTTAGAATGTAACCAATATATTAAAAATTAACCTTTAATTGAATAGATTTTTAAAGAATAATTTAAAACGGATAAATAGCCTGGGACAATCCGATAATATTAATAATCATCTGTTTAATCCATTTTTTTAATTTGTAATCATTACTTTTTACATTAAACAAATTGATCTGTCTTAAAAAAAGGTTAAATAACGTTACATAATTAAGGTATTTTGTTGATTTAAAGGTGCAAACTAAAGTTTTGTCGGGTGTACGTGGCCACACTCACAAATCGATGCAGTGTGTGTGTGTATGTGGGTATCCTTTGCCTTCTCTCCGTATCAGCGTGCAAACTATAAAAACCAGAAGCTCAATTATCAAAATTCTATGTGTGTTTGTTGGTTTGCTTGCTTGCTTGCTTGCTTGTTTGTTTGTTTGTTTGTTTGCCCGCCTTTGTCGGCGCGAGCTCGCCGTGCGTATGTGGGTGAGTGTCCCTGTCTCCTCTTCCTTTCCCTTTGCCTCTCCCCTTTCTCGTTTCCATTGTCCTGGTCCATTTGTGTGGATGCGAGTGAGACAGGGAGAGTATCTGAAAGCTTTTCCCTTTGGATTGCTGTGTGTGCGCTCGCCTTTGACTGTGCAAATAGATAAATTTATTTATTTTATGCCCTGCTGCAGGAACCGCACACAAACAACAGGCGGCAGAGACGGCGATAGCATAGAAATTTCTATTTCTTTCTGTTTCTGCTCTAAAATAAACCAGAAGCCAGAAAAGAAAAGAAAATAAAATAAAAGAAAAGAAAATAAAATAAAAGAAAAGTAAAGGACGAAGGTGCGGAGGCGGAGGCGGAGGACGGCCAGCTGCCGGCAGACAACTGACTTTAAATGCCTTTATGCTCGCAAAATACATAAATTGAACATTTTCGAGCAGCCAGAGAGACACTTTCGCTGAATTGGAAATCGCTTCCACAATGCCCGAACGGAATAGACTTTGGGCGGGGCCCGGGGGCGGGGAAATGGAAAATGGGCTTGGAAAAATATTAAAAAATTCAATGAAGCCAGCAGCTGAAGGAACATCGAAGAAGGAATCAAAAGAAACCAATTCCAAGCAAACTTTCTAAGATTAAGTCATAAATAATTCGACAAATGTAACATTTGGTTAGAAAAGCACCCATTTAGTATCGATATTAAATGGACATATCTTCTATGCTGTGCGTGAACTGATGAGCGAAGACAGACAAGTCACATTTCGCGAGTACTCTTGAGTATTACGATTACAACTGGAGTGTGCAGCTGGACAAGCTTAAATACTTAGCAGCTGCCAAGGTTACATGCCCTAAAATAAAGAAAAATCAAAACTTCGATTCGAAAATTGGGTCAAACGAATGGAAGAGTGTATTAAATTTCATGGGAAATACTTTTATCAACTAAAACACTATTTATATTGTTGGGACAGATATTGTATATAAAAAGGATCCAGACATGGGGATAAACAAAAACATTAGGCAAACATGGCAGGAGCAGAGTCTGTATGCTTATGTGTGTGTACACTTAGGGTCAATACCTAAGAATACATTATAAATTATAGTTTAGCTGCCGGCGAGCAGGACATGGGCACACGCCTCGTATACGCAATGTGCCAGACAATGGACTCCAGCAGGAAGCCAAAAAATAGCAGTAAAAAATGTCATAGCTCCGAAAGTTTGGTGTGTGTGGTATGTGTGTGGGTGTGTGTATGTGTGTGTGTGTGTGTGATGGCAAAGGATGAGCATTCGTGCGTGTGTCTTTATATCCAAAAGTTTTTGCCACTTTCTTTAGTCAAGCTCAACTTTTGTTATGCTCGCTTAGCTCCTCGAATAGAGACTCCTTCTGAATCGGCGACTGCACGACTGCTTTAGTACATTTCTATGCTGCTTTCACTTGACTTTCACTCTCGTGTGGCTGCGTGTGTACAAATATTTTACACTCCTTGCAGGGGATGAGCCGCAGTTCAAGTTTCAGTTTGTTTGTCTAATTTAGGACCAAACCGAATGGAGAAGAGAAACAAGAAAATCAATGGCTTGAGCCCGAATGCAAGATATTCGATACCCTGTCTTTTATTTATAAATATGGCTAGTAGGGTTTATCCAATGGTATGTATGCGTATCTTTTCATATAAAGCTGGGTTTGTTTCGCCTTAACAAAGTTTATCGATGGATATCTTTTGAGGATTAAAGAAGAATTAGATTGGATTTGGCTGTAGTTTGGTTTGCCGGTCTCATACTTCTGCACAAATACATCATACCCTGTCACTGGGCACAGGGAGTGCACACGTGCAGCCATGTCAGGTTCGTTTCAGCCCGCACCCAAGTCCAAACACATCCAGCCAACTGAACCACTCGGCCTTTCTTATGTGCTTTGTGTGCTACAAATTGTTTGGCCTGGGAAATTCCTGACGTTTTTGTTAAGGCTTTTATGGAGTCTGCCTGGGGCTGCCGGCGACGTCCATAAAGAGATAGAGTCTAAAACTAATTTGTGGCAGCAGGCCGGCAAATGGGAAAATATTGTTATTAATATTCGACAAAGGAAGGGCATTCCGATGGAGCTCTCCCACAGTCGATTAAGTGCCGAACAAATGAAGCGTGCTCTCCCTTCGGTTTTACCCATTTCCCATTTCCCATTACCGATTTACCCATACCGATTTACCCATTTTCCATTTTCCACCAATTCCATTCGCAGGTAAATGGAGTCTGGGCCCTGCCTGATGTCGTTTGTGATTTTTATATAGCCATGGATGTGATATGCTCTACTTCATCGATATTCAACTTAGTTGCCATCTCCATAGACAGGTGAGTTTTCTGCGCCCCATCGCGCATCCGGTGGCACCAACTATGTATGTACTTACATCATTCATTACCGCAGATACATCGCTGTGACACAGCCAATAAAGTACGCCAAGCACAAAAATAGCCGCCGCGTTTGCCTTACGATACTGCTGGTGTGGGCCATTTCGGCTGCCATCGGCTCGCCGATTGTTCTGGGCCTCAACAACACGCCCAACCGCGAGCCGGATGTGTGCGCCTTCTACAACGCCGACTTCATACTCTACTCCTCGCTGAGCAGCTTCTACATACCCTGCATCATCATGGTGTTTCTCTACTGGAACATTTTCAAGGTGAGTGGCGCACGAGGCAATAGTGCGTAAAAATAAAAAAAATCGGTAAAATTTTACAAATATAACAAATATATATCTCTTGAGTACAAAATTGTATATTTAATATTTAAATTAAATAATAAATCATAATGTTATATACAATGCATGCTTATATATTTTCGACTTCAGATAGTTCCTTTTTGATTTAAAATCATTTTGTTTAAGTTAAATATACTCAAATTCAAATTAAATTTTCAGATATTAAAAGCCATTCCCAAAAAAAACAAAAATTGTAATATTTTCATATATAAAAAACTAAAAAATTTTAAAATGAAGAAAAAATATTTGGATTTACTACGTTTATTTTACGTGTTTAATCATTGCCAAGACTTCCTTTACAAATCGCGAACTTAGGTTCATCTGCTGGCATCGTTTATTAAAAGGAGGCGATATAAATGACTTATTTAAAGCCTTTATGTCCAGTAAGATAACACTGAGCAACTGCAATTGTAATTTCCGATTTTGAAAGTACTCAGTATTAAGGCATTTGTACATAGATGGAATCAAAATATGCAGATTTGAGGTAAAATCGCTTTATGTTCATGTCATCAGCATTGATTTAAGTATGTCTAAACTGAAAGCCAAAAAACTTTTTGAAAAAGTTTTCCTAAAACATTCAAAATGTCGTGAACTATATCGTGTTTTGATCAAATTTTTGAGATTTTAAGGCCCTTACTGTTTTTTTTCTCCCTTATTTATGTACAATCGTGTGGTTAAAATAGAACACAATATTACTCTCACCTTTAGATTACTATAAATTCGAAAAACCAAAACATTTTATTTAAGTTTTAGGCCAAGTGCTATGGGTTCAAGGATTTCGTACAAATTACTCACCCCGACACGTAATGCCAATTTAAATACATTTTTTCATCAAAGGCGACAGAACGTATGAGTGCTAAACTTTTAATCGAAACAGTTTTCCGAAAATTCCTTCTGGTGTGTCTCACATGCAGCAAAGCGCCTACCACAAGCGGGTTAGAGTAGGATGCTAACATTTTCATACACATTTGGACCACCCTGGTGTACATACTAACTAAAAATGTTGAAGAAATGAAGTGTACTTTGAGTTTGCCCAAGCAATATAAGTTTATGAATCAAACTTGGCTATATATCTGTGTATCGTAATAGTTTGCATTTGCAGTTTCATTTTCTGTGTTCCACTTTGTTATATTTTCATCTCGAGAAAAACATGAACAGGCATTGTACATGTCAATGCAAACTTTGAAAAGTTACAAGAAACTTATATATTTTTTTTCGCTTTTCGTCATGCGTTTGCTATCTAGAATCAATTTACATCTCCCCAAGAGACAATTTATTTGCTAAATCTGAAACACAACAAACACAAAAAGGTACTAAATTACCTTATTAGTAATGAAATATGTCAACCAAGCTAGAAAAACCTATACTTTGTCTTTCTGCGGCTTTCCAAATAGCTGGGGTTTTCTCTGGCATCACTCGGGTCGCAATAAAAATCAGATTTCCCCGCGCCGAGTGGAATCAATTTTCCCTGCTGCCCGCGGCACAGTTCCCACTTTGCAATCCGGTCGGGGCTTGTGTTCGTGCACATTAGCTGCTGGCTGGGGGCAAATATCCGGAGGATGCAAGCGCAGCAGGCCACTGCTTAATCCGCTCCTTCCATCCTGAGCCCTGTGTTCTGTACTATGTGTTCTGTGTTCTGTAATCTGTATCTTGTGTGCTGCATCCTTTATGCAGTATCCTGTATTCTGTATCCTGTATCCTGTATCTTGTATCCTGTGCTCCGATCCCATCCGTAGGCGCTGAGGAGTCGGGCGCGGAAGCAGCGGGCGGCCAGAAAGCCACACCTCTCGGAACTGACGGGCGGCAGCGTCATCGAGAACATCGCCCAGACCCGTCGGCTGGCGGAGACGGCCCTGGACAGCAGTCGGCACGCCAGCAGGATCCTGCCGGACGAGGCGGCCACCAACACGGCCAGCGGCTCCAACGAGGAGGAGGACGAGAACGCCATCTCGCCGGACATCGACGACTGTCACGTCATCGTGAACGACAAGTCCACCGAGTTCATGCTGGCCACTGTCGTCGAGGAGACGGGCAAGTGAGTAGTCATTCTGGGTCCGGTAGTGGGTCTGTGGTGGGTCTGGGGTGGGTCCGCCCTTCTGGGACCTTCTTTTGGCGGCTGCTGATTGCCTCGGAACATAAACACGTTACGGAGGTACAGACATGCATGTGCATACACAAAAAAACATGCTTAAAACTCTGCCAACCTACACATAAATACAAAACTTAAAGTTTTGTTTTCATAGACAGTATTAAAGTATAAGAGCTGAAATAAAACTAAATAATAACTTTTTAGTTTTATTTCTATACCAAAGTGTCTAAAACTGTAGGCGAAGGCCTTTATGTTTTATATTGTCGTGGTATTAAAATAAAACTCATTTTAATGAGAAATTTTTCATACCCAAGGGCTAAATATTCATGTCACAATAGTTCAGTTTCTATGACAATTTATTTTGGGTGTTCAAAATAAAGGTAATTGCCTTGAAAACAGTGGTACAAATTTTTAAAGGCCACTGAAATATGACAATTGTCAAACAAAATTGTTACTTAACTATTTAAGTCGTGGCAGCTTTTTTGCATATTTTTTTTAGTATGCGTCTTTTGTTATTTTATTATTATTTATTACATTTATTAATATGAAAGTTATTTAATGACACTCACATTTCATAGTTTGAACTTTGAATCGATGCCAAGGAATGATTTTTTTAGAGAAACATTTGTAAACATAAAATTAACATTGAACGAATGTTCAAATAAAAGCAAATATTCGCTGCTAAGGTGGAAGTTGAACTCCTGCCACATAGATTTCTAAACTCTCTAACCACTAAACATAGAGTTTGGACAATTGTCTATTAGAATCTGTAATCTGAATAAAAATAAATTCGTTTTAGACATTTTAGTTGTTATAACTCTACTGACAGGTCCAATCAATATAAAACAGTCCACAGTGCATGAACATGTGGTACCAATTTTTCTATGTTGATTTTACAAATGTTTTTATTTTTCTGTGTGTATGTGCCACTTATAACGCACGTGTGCGGCGCATGAAAATCAGAAACTTTTAGCCAAACTGACTGCAAAACTCCGTCGGTTCGGGCTGGGGCTATCTGCGATGGCCCTGGAAAAGTTCGGAGCTCAGCAGATTCGATGCCGCAACTTGCAGCCTGGCAACCCTGGCACGTTCCTCAAACACGTAATAGATAAGCCTGTTTCTGCTGAGTGGTCGCGAATGCACCTCGAACTGCCTTCCAGACGACCCGTTGCGAGCCGGGGAAAAACTGTCAATCGGCAAAGGCGCCACTCGATTGCCGACATAAAAGAGGCACTTTCCATGGCCGCGCTGCACTTTCAATCAGGGCCTGCCAAAAAGACCCATCTGCAATCATCGACATCCGAATCCCTGCTCGAAGCCGCCATTAAGTGCGAGCGTTAAGCGCAGCCAATTAGCATCATGATGGCCTGCTTAATCCAATAAGGACATGAAATGAAACCATTAATGACAGACTGGATGCACAAAGAGACCGAACCGAACCGAATGGCTATGCGGATGGGTAAGGGTATGATTATGGGTATTGGTATGGGTATTGGTATTGGTATGGGTGGAAGACCGCACATCTTTTCCTCCATAGAAATCACAGCCAGTGGCAGGGAAAAATAATTCTGAATAATTCAATTAATGCGTCACTTTATTAAAACTCAATCTTGCCATTAATTGACGTTGCTTCCCTTCTCTCCGTCTTTTCTGTCCCTCATCAACGCCGGGATCGATTGCTTGATTGATTGATTGCCGTGACTCCTTCAAATGGAAAATGCAAAATGGAAAATGGAAAATGCTAAATGGAAAAATGGAAAAATGGCAATCTGAATACTGAAAACCAACTCCAACCGCACTCGCAGCAGCGTTGTGGCCCAGATCACCACTCAGCCGCAGTTGGTCGTCGCCGATCCGAATGGTAATCATGATTCTGGTTATGCAGCCTCAAACGTTGACGATGTCCTTGCAGGCGTGGCGCCCGCCTCCGCCTCCGCCGCCACATCCGCTGCTCCGCGGAGCAGCGGCTCGCCGCCGGACAGTCCGCTGCCCAGTGGCGCCACCCTCCAGCGGTCCAGCGTCAGCAGCCAGCGACGCACCGCCGCCGACGACTCGCCGAAGCGCGGCGATCCGGCCCTCAGGTCAGTCGGGGTCGATAACTCCAGGTATTTGGCATTCAGCTCTGTGGCCTGCTACCCCGTATAGTTGGCTTAGTAGCTAGGATAGTTAGTAGTCCCGAAATCCCCTTTCCTTTTCCCCGCCCCGCCACTCAAAGTAATCGCCCGCATCTATTTCAGATTTTTAAAGGCCGATTTCTCAAAGTGATATTATGTTTTAACTTTGAGCTCATTTTCTGTTACAGTTTTTCAGACCGAAAAGTTTTTAGTGTTCATTTTCCCCAGTTTATTTAATATGACTAAGTATTAACTTCCTCTCACAGATTACAAACATAACATAACAGAACTGTTTATTTTCAAATATCCAAAGTTTTTATTTGGCAATATAGTTAATATTTTTTTTTCAATTTGACTTAGTGGTTAACTCTCTCTCACAGATTACAAACTTAACATAAACCTTAACCAAACGTTGAGAAATTCGGTTTAGACAAAAACACAACTAGTCAAAACGGTGGAAATTTTACATTTAATTGCTTGACTATTTGCAGTTTTTATTTAACCCACAATAATATTTACCAAGCGGAACTAAAATGGTTAGCATTCCCTTAAATGTACATCGAAAAAATGATTGTCCGAGATGCCAAGGAAATCGCTTTTAACAATTTTACTATTGTAATGCAAGGTTCGATTTAAATCGAATTTAGGTAAAAGAGATTTCTGTGCCACCCCGATTAAGGCGATTATTTACTTATTATTCAATAGCATTTTCATAAAATCGATTGGTCCCCTTCGGCCCCGGCACTTGTTTAGCTTGAACCCTAGCACCTATTCTTCGCACTTTCCATGCCGAAACCGCAAATGGCAGTCCGGCAGTCCGGCAATCCGGCAATCCGGCAATCCGGCAATCCGGCAATCCGGCAATCTGGAAATCCGAAAATAGTGTTTTAATAGCGTAGTTTACCGCCCCAAGATTGCGTTTTCATTCCGATTCCGGCCCCGCTCTTCCGTTTACAGCGTCGCCATGAAGCCATTGTCCTTTGTCCGTTACGGGGTGCAGGAGGCCATGACTTTGGCACGCAACGACTCAACGCTATCGACTACATCGAAAACGTCCTCGCGCAAGGATAAGAAGAACTCGCAGGCGTCAAGGTGAGTAACGGCGTCCGTCGCCTCTAATTACGGTTATTAGTTTGGCTTTTCTGCTGGCCAGGTAATGAGATCTCCCCCTCCCTCTCCCTTTCACCACATACACACACATAAACTTTCACCTTTCACCCCCTCTCTCTCACTCTCTCTTTCCGGAAAATGCAATACACCATGGCCTTTTACAATGGCGTGTCCGTAGATTCACGATATACAAGGTGCACAAGGCCTCGAAAAAGAAACGCGAAAAATCGTCGGCCAAAAAGGAACGCAAGGCCACCAAGACACTGGCCATTGTTTTGGGTAAGTTTAATAGCAGGGCCTGCCCTGAATTTGCATGCATACCCGTCTACTTAACTACTTGTCTCAACCTCAACCTCAACCATAACCACAAACGCAACCTCGACAAACAGGTGTCTTCCTGTTCTGCTGGCTGCCGTTCTTCAGCTGCAACATCATGGACGCCATGTGCGCCAAGTTCAAGAAAGACTGCCGACCGGGGCTCACGGCCTACATGATGACCACCTGGCTGGGCTACATCAACAGCTTCGTGAACCCGGTGATCTACACGATATTCAATCCCGAGTTTCGCAAGGCCTTCAAGAAGATCATGCACATGGGGTGATTGAAAACGCCGAGCAGATCAACAGCAACAGTAACAGCAGCAATCATGCGAACAGCAATAGCAAATGGATGGATTGGAATGGAATTGAGGGATTGGATGGGCAAAGTGTGCCAAATGCAAGCCATCGATGCACAAAAGGTCTCAATTGGCATTCGACATTGGGCTTAGCCTTAAGCTTAAGCTTAAGTTTCGTTTCGTTTCGTTCGTTGGGCTCTCCATTAGCGTTAAGGTTTAGCTACTTATGTAAATAGATCTGTATATACCTCTACTCGGATAGGCCTATATTTGGAGTGGAGCGCATTACGAGCTGTAGGCTAGGTACAATTTTTAACAATTACTTTAAGCGAAACCCAAACTAGCGATGTAGTCAACACACGACACACGACACACGACCCACACAGCAAACACAAGCGATTAGCATTCCCGAGTAGTCGTAAGATTCGCTTTAACAGGATAACGTAGTGTTTTTTTTAGGGCTGCCCCCCCAACCCCCCCCCCCCAGAACCTTTCACATATCACGGGCAGCCAGCTATCCCCACCCCACCACAGCACACAGATCCCCTCCGACTCCTCCGATTCCCAGCATATGATTAAGAGGTAAGAGTGTAAAAGAAATTCATATCCTTAGGCGGGCCGACTTGCAACTGACCGATTGGGCTGGTTGCTCACTGCCGATGTTACATGTTACATGTTCTCGGTGCATAGAGTTAGTTAGTTATCAATATGCTATAAGGTAGCAAGCGGGGTCTCGAGGTCAGCGGCTTCCCCCACAGACACACCACAGTCGAATGGTCCACGTTGGTTGATCTCCGGTGAAGTACTATGCGACTTGCACACACACACACACACACACACACACACACACACACACACGAGCAGACTCCATAAATCAAATGAGCCCCACAAATGAACACAATATCGAGGGGCGCTGACCCCGATGCCATCCCCGCTTACAGGGCACTCTTTCAGTTGGACTCTGAGTTCGTGTAAGTATTATATAGGAGCATTTAAAACATTTAAAGGTCGTACCTAGGCTAGTCACCTAAAACTAGAGAGTATGTGTATGTTCATTAACCAGATGTATCAGATAGTACCACGGGGGTTAGCAGTATGGGGATGGGTATGATGATGGGGTTGGGGATGGGGATGGGGACTGGGACAGGGAAAGGGATTACCTGGATGCATAGCACCATCCTCCAGGAGAATCAGGGTATCTGGAGCAGAGGCTACCACGTTGCTAGAAGCAATAGCAGAGCTACCTACCATAGCAGATGTACTCATTGGTGTAAGCGTACGTGTATAGTGAAATATCAAAACAGAGTTTTGAAACACGGACCAAAGCATTCCACCTGCCGCGCAGGATAGTTGGACTGCGATTTCCCCGACTTCCGCAGGCGGGGAGTGAAGGCGTTTGGTCCCTGCTTTCAACAGCCGTCCTCTTAACTGTTTCTATGTGACAAATAATTGATAGGTAATTACTCCTATGTGTGTAGTAGTTTGTAAAACGATTCCATTTATAATACGCCCTAAACTCGGACTTAGTGTACTTAGGCGTAAACGGTGCCCAGCTCACATTTCCATTGGAACCCCGTAGGAAACTCGAGGTCAAGGTCGAGGCCAAGCTCAACTGTTTTTATACTTTCCTAAAAACTCCAATGCATATACGCGAGTATTTCGGTGTGCATGTGTTTGAGTGAGTGTGTGGATGTGTGGGTGAGTGATTTTTTTTCGGCTAGACTAGAGATTTAGACGGTAAGACTAGGCTAAGACTACGGAAACAGTTCAACTTTCAGATCAGTGCGAAATGCTCCTAAGTTAAGTTCTTCCAAAGAAAACGCTTATTAATTATAGCTAATTGGTAAATTTGCAACTTGAACTAACTATTGATACGTACACCTCACACACACACACACACACACACATACACGATTACTGTTGATTTATCGAAATTGTAGCCTGAGTTTCCAAGTCGTTGAATTGTTGTCTGTTATAGTTAATTTGTGAATGATATAGCATACTCTTAAGGACACTCCGTGGCGAGGTCTCTCTACCGAAAAAGCATATATACGAGTTTGTAAAATAACTGAATTGGACATGGAAACGGAAAAACTGAAATGAATATGAAAATGAAAACTATTTCAATGAAATGGGAAAATTTGTTTTTTTTTTCTAGAAAATTATGAGAGTTATTTACTAAATGAACCGTAGGGTAAACTCTAAGAAAAGCAAACTATTTCAAAAATAATTATCATAGCTTACGGAAATAATAATAGCGAATAACAACAATAAATTAATGATACCAAAAAGGATGCGGAGCGGCATAGACTGCGTCAGCATAAGAATACATCAAATAAATAAAGCAAAACTGAAAATATTTCAAGGCAAAACCCATCGCAAACTTTTTATTTCGATGGGAGAAAGTTTTTGTTCGGGGGTTGTTGGTAAGTTCACATATGCCCTTTCACTTTCACTTTCCCCTTCTCCTTTCCCTTCTCTTTCTCTTTCCAGCTCTTCGCTCACCCACACATGCGTACACCAACATTTTATCGCACTTATATGAGCAGATAATAAAATTCCAATACGCATGAAAAGAAATAAAAATACTTGCACAAGACAAACAAGTGGAACAATGGGGAGACCAATGGCTGGAACCAGTTCCGGTGGTTGCGGCTAGTAAAATCCATTCGAGAAGGAGCTCACGGCCGTCGCCACCTCTCAGGAAACCGAAAACCCAACTAAGAGCGTCTAAATAGATGAACTCGCAGCGCCGGGAATGCGAATGGAGTCTGGGGGAGGGAGGGAGGTTATGGAAGTCGCAGGACTCGAACACTCGTCATACTCTAATGGGTACTTAGTCAGTTAATCCCGTTGTCGGAGGACGCGAAGACACAGACCTACATAATGTGGGAAATAAATGCGAATGGGAACGAACTGAAGTCCGCCTGTCTGCTGTCGGTTTCCTGATACGCCATGACCTCTTACACGGCAAAAAAAACTGCTAAGCATATAAAGAGATAGATCAAAATATCTCTGTTGCCCCCAAATTAAACAAGTAAAATTTGAATGGTCAATAAGTATAACTAGTCATAAGATTAAAAGTACCGGGTATAAAGAGATAGATCAAAATGTTGTTGCTGCCTCAAAATAAAGCAAATAAATATTTGTATTATGGTCAATAAGTATAAGCTAATCAAAAGCTTGGAAACATTGCTGACCATTAATATACATATATTCTTGATGGGAATGCTGTCTGGATAAATCTTTTCCACCAGACTAGCCATAGAAATAATCTTTAAAATAATTGAAAATAAAACAAAATAAAATAAATAATTTTTTTATGTTTTTAAACATATATGCATACAAATAAAAAAAGGTAGTAAAAATGATTCGAGAAACTTACTTTGTGTATTTATTTCGGCTGATTTCCAGTTTTCAACAAGTTTTGTTAAGAATGTAGATGAAATTATACGAGAATAACACATATCGATCTATGATTAGCCTTACAATATGAAACATAACAATTAACTTTACATTGAAGAAAGTCCTTTAGATCATATATGAAAGATCCGAAAAAATATATATAAATGGTAAGAAAATGGGCAAAACTTGTTTGATTTAATTCATGGGAGTAATAATGGTTAAACGATTTAAGAAATACAATTTTAATTTTAATAAAACCAATGGATATAGCACCCATTGGAACAATCGACAAAATGGAATGGAAAATCGACATAGCTTTATAGTTATTATTCATAAATTTTAGGGATTTGTTAACTTGGGTATTCGATGCCAACTAAGCAAGCTCCTACTTTGTTATTGCAACATTACCTCGCTCCTTAAAAACTTGTCTGTCATATGGAACCGATAACTATCACAAATTTCTTTCAATGGCACCCCGGCCGAATGCCAATTTGGTTTTCGCACAAGTCCTGTGTCCGCAGAGACGTCATTGTCTATGAGCTGTGTCTTGGCCTGACCATAAATACAAATGTAAAAAGGGCAACCAGAGCCGACCCCTGACCTCCGCAGAAGCTCTTTGGAATTCCTGTCCGATGTGGTATGAGTATATGTGTGGGTGTGTGTGTGGGTGGTGTATTGTGGGGAAAGTTGTTTTCATTCGATTGTGTATCTTAGGCTCTTCGACTGCTGGGGCGAGAGTTGTGTGCTCTATGTCCATAACTAATTCGAACTAAATGATGTAGTAAAGTGTTGAGGGAACACGGATACTCGGATACTTGGATACTTGGATACTCGTACACAGAGGAATGGACACCAGCCAGCGGACAATCGGAGGGTGCGTATGAAATGTTTTGCGTCTGGGGGCGATATCTTATCGTTACACACACTGGGTGGCGATAATTGACAGACCATTAACGTTTGGATTGCAAAAGCCAAAGTAAAACTGCACGGATACACGAGACACGAGAGATACTCGTTTAAATGGCCAGGTCCTGTCGTTAAGGCCATATGCCTTGTCTGTTGTACTTGCCAATGAGCAACAGCAGGAATGCAAGTGGAGTGATCGAAACTCAGGACATGGGCTACCCTTTTGAAACGGAGTTAAGGAGCAGCTGCTCCGTTGCCAGAACCACGATAAAGACCCGACCCAGCCAATCAGTTAACTTGGGGTATTTTCCCCCTGGCCTCTCTCGCCAACAAGCCAAGCCCACTACGGCCTAACATCCGACCCGGAATGGAATTCTGGCAAGCGGAAACTCTGGGGGGCAGGGTGAAAATCGGCAAATATGCACACGACCAGAAATAGTTTAAATACAAGGCCGAATATTAAAATGTGGATGGGCCATTCCGGGACCTCGGGCGATGGGGTTAGTGCAATCAAGCATGCCTCCTCAGTGGATTACGGTCCCGTCCTGACCTGCCGCCGCTCCAACTTCACGGTCAATGACTTTTCGGCCTTCTGGCCAGCGGAAGATGAAAGGCGGCTCGAATGCAAAGGTTGACCAGCTATGAAGATGAATAAATTCACTGCTTTACATTTTTAATCGGCATACTAGTTGTCCTTCGTTATGTTTACTATTCACAATATTTATTTATACATATTTTGTATGATATATGAACTATAGATGTACCTTTAAGACAGTAAAAGTTTAATTAATTTGTTTGATTTAATTTAATTTTTAACAAAGCAATTTCTTTGTCTTATTTTTTAGAAAAGGGTTCGCAATTAAAGAAATTTCCATTTAGGGCTTGGCTTCTGCTTCAGTCACTTAAAGCCCTTTAAAATAAGGATTTGCCAGAGTACCGCAGTCGTCGAGTCATTGTCTGTGTCCTACTCTGTTGGAATTGCCAATACAAATCTACTTTCATTTTAGCGATTATCGTCCTGCTTGGCTGCCGCCAAGATCGATTCAATGGCTTGCCCTGGAAAAGTTCTTGTATTCTCAATTAACTTTTCGGCTCGGCCCTCTTGCCTTTCTGCTCAATTGAGTTAAAATACTGAACAAATGTTCAAATACTGTTCAAATA